AGAGATGTTAAGGTTCCCAATGTAGGTAGACTCTTTTTTAATATCTGGATGAGGGACTGCCCTGTTCCTCAGCGTGTCAGTACAATAACCCTTGGCATAAACTAACACAATCCAACAAAATGATTTCTTTTCCCAGAGGAATCATCCCACTGTTGGCCTGCCTTTACAAGGCAACTGAGGAGGACTACAAATGAAGATGAGAGTGGCTCTCCCAGCATGACCTTTTCTTGGGATGTTTTCCTGCAAGCGATAGCTCTGGTCGCAGCTTCTCTCCCAGTCCTGCCATCCCTTAGAGGTCTTAGTGCTCTCATAGAGGAAAGCGGGTAAAAGAAAAACAATGCCTTTCAGTGTCCTAGACAAAAAGGGGCAAGAAACTAATCAGGGGAAACCATGCAGAGAAAAGCTCACTTGCAGATCCACGCCAAAGCCCATCTGAACTTTCACCAAAAGGGGGTGTTTCCCTTTTAAGACCTAACTGGCCTTTGATGTGGTCTTTGCTAACAGACAGTTGTATTGCAAAGGTAAACCACATGTAATCATTCTCCTCTTCCTATTCAAGGACTCCTGTGTTCAAAAGGGGGTATTTTACTATCATTTTTCCTTTGACAGTTACTTCTATGCAGGGATTATTGGCAGCTCAATAGCTGAGATGCGCAGAAAAGCCACGCTGGGGGATGGAACTCTCATCAGCCTCTTTCTTCCAATCTCCCAGCACGTTAAAAGCACTCTGAGGCCCAGAGAACAGCAGGGAAGGAGCATGAATGCAAATCATAGGTTTTTTTTCCTCTTTTAATAGATCCTCTATGCATCCCCATGTAGAGAAAAATGACCCGGGAGAATCCCATTCTCCTCCCTTTCCTCCTTGTTCCTACCTGGAAGTAACAGCTAAGCCATTTTCAGCAAAAACAGATAGCATCACCGCAGTGCAATCAGATCACCCTGCCAGACCCAAGCAGCAGTGCTTTGCAAAGACAAGAAGGCACTTCATATTATTGCACTACTATCCTGCTCAGCGGCAGCCTCTCCCCAACAGGAACAGCAGCTGTAGGTCCAATGCAGGAAATCTTACTCTTGGGATGCATGTTTTCTAAACAGTGAACGGTCTCATTCAGTACACTTCATAATCCGTTGCAAAATAATCTATTTACTGATAGATAATGTCAATACTTACAGGTTTGGAAGGGCTTACACCCTCTAAGCAAAAGCATAAGGCCCTTTTCATAATCAAAGATATATAAATAAGACACTCTCATAAGCACAGTATCAAGAACAGAACACAAAATCAACAAAAAATGCATCAGGTTTAAAGTTTCAAATAATTTTGGTATTTCACAGCAACTTAGTTTTTGCACACACACACAGAAGGAGCAACTCATGAGACTGTGGAGTAGCACTGATAGCTGCATCATTACTGAAGCCAGTTGCTTAGATACCTACTAAGCTGAACTCTGTTAAACCAAAACTGTTTCCTGCCTGTTCTCTCCATGCTGCTGCACGAAGCCTTATCTTGGCATCATCTACATACAGGAGAGATATTACATCAGCACTCCACTCTCCCTGTTGCTACGCAAGGTCACTGTTCTGAATTACACACCTGAGGCTCAAAGACAGCCCTGCTCAAATCTTAGTGACCACAATCTCTTGGGGGAGCAGAAGGGGGCAGCTCAGAGGTCTCTCTTGAAGGTGGGGTTTGTTTTGATGGGGGGAGGTAGTCTTCCAAAACAAAATAAAAAAAAATCCTTCCGCGTGTATCTTGGCTGGCTTTTAAATTCCAAGTTTGCCCAAAACCCTCCATCCCCCCTCACCCCAATACTATTTTGAAGCAACACTCAGGATGCCAAGGGTCCTGACGCTGAGACACAGGTAAAAGCCTTTACAGACGTTAAATAAAGACTTTAAAACAGGAGCCTGATTTTGTGTTGTGAGAGCATTAACTGCAACCTGGAGTAGCTCCAGCTATTTTCTTAATATTTTAGGTTAAAAAATTCCAGAGGCATAAGACTTAGAGCAGCATGATAATTCTTCAATACTTTATTAAGGTCTTCAGCTTATATACTGCTGCTCTGTCAGGTTGTCACTAGACCAGGTAAAACGTCAGACAGAAGAGGGAAACGTGTCAGCTAGAAGCATGATAGACTCTCTGAACAACATTAACAAAGACTTCTACTACACAATGCAATCGGAATAAAGTAACAGCCAACCCATGCAGGTTGTCAAAATAAGATGAGACCATCCTTCCATGGCAGATGTTTTACTCACAGCACCTCTTTATGCACCGACATCCACAAAAGGGACTGACCAAGGACTGAAAAAAGGGAAAAGCTCCAAAGTCCAGGAACGTTCAAAAGGCAGTTCGTGTACAAAAACTCAGATAATTCCAGCAGTTCAAGTGCAAGTGGACTTCTGACTAATATTAACCACAAACACCACCAATTTACCATGCAAACATTTTAATTGTTTAAATTGCACTCTTCCAAGCATGAAGAGACAGAAGTACCACTCCACAGTGGTGCCTCCTATGACAGTGACAAAGGACCACCTGCTTATAACTTAAATAATAAATTCCTGTTTTGTATAACTGAGGCTGAATACCCACAGGATATTATTAGCATTTCCCCTCCAGCATCTGGTCTAATAAAGAAACACAGAACAGCTTTGCTGTAGTACAAAAGTTTACAGAAAGTTCGACAATTTAATTAAAGACAATACAAAATATGTTGTCTGAATTTAAATAATTTATGTAAAAGTACATGAATGAGAAAATATTGGCGAGAAGATTTGGGTAACCATATTATCAGATGCATATTCTTTGTCCCTAGAGATAACATACAGTCAAAAATACATTTGTTACAATAAAAGACAGCATTTTAAAATAAACATAATTTCAGGTCTACCAGCCCTTTAACGCGAAAAATTCCTGTTAACACAGGACGACCTGACAGAATAAAAAAGTGGAGCAATACTGAAGTCTCTGAATAAGCCTGTAGTGTTTGTTTTTCCTTTTATCAAGGAGGGAGAAGACAACAGAAAACAGAGGACTGTTTTGTTAATGCTCCATCTTCTCGGTTAAGTGTTTTAATAAGTGTGATCAGAGCATCAGGAATTACTTTCATCCATATACCCCAGAAAAACCCACCTCCTTGTGAGGAGACAGGGTACAGATCAGGCACAGATCTTCCCTTCCCTACAAAGCAGTACCACATCCACACAAGAGTGGATCCCACAGGCAAAGCAAGCTACCCCTCCTGTACTCAGGGTGGCAGCTTGGCCCCAACAAGCACTTTCTCTCAGCCTCCAGCAGAGACACTACTCCTCTCAAATCACGAGTTATTTCTTTATGTTTGTCAAATATTGAAACCTCAGAAGTCACCTTCTCGATTACAGTATCGGACAACAGCCTGAAACACCCAAGATTTCTTACCATGTGTCACTTGCCCTCCACATTTTTGTGGTCAGTTAATTAGCTTAACAAGACGACACATGATTAATTTCTTTAAAGATATTTTAGTTCATTGATTCTCGATAAAAGCATTGGTTGCAGTACAATAGTTTGACATACAGCAACAAAATGTACTCAGTTTACATGCACAAGCTATTTAACAATAGTACACAGTCTTTCCTATTGCCATTAGAAAATGAACACTATTATGACAGCTGACACAGCCTTCCGATTGTTCTCATGAGCTCTATAAAAAGTGATGAAAACAGTGTTCCAGTTTGTACAATGGCAAAAAACAGAGGTTTGGCCACTGCTGGAAGATTCCAGTGAAGATGCCAGTATCGTAATGGGAAACAGCGTTGGAATTACTGTAAAAACAGCTACAAAAAAAGCTACGCAAAATTATTTTGATGTGTACTTCAGTTTAAAAAAAAGAACACGTGGGAAATACTTAACAGCTTTGTATAGAAACATACCAGAAACAAAAGTAAATGCAGAGGAAGAAAAGTTAAGAATTTAAGGCAAGACAAACGTGTGGATGACTACAAAATACTGATCACTGAAGTACTGTAAGCTACCAGCAATCTGTTGAGGAAAGCGCATAATTTTCTGTGTAGGATTGGGTTTTGTGGGGGGGGTTGAGGTTTTTTTTGTAATTCGAGGGGGTTTTGTTGGAGTTTTTTTTTAAAAAAAGCTTCCAACTTTGAAAATGCAAGCCAAAACTCCTCTGCATTTGTGTTCTATGCTTGACTGACATTTCTTTCAGTTTACAGTTTGGTCCAGATTCTCATGGTTTAATGTGCAAAGTGTGCTTTTCAAAAAACAGATACAACACTGTCCCCTTCATTAAAGGTTGATGTCAAAGTTTCAGTACTGCTGTTAAAGGGCTTCTAGAAACAAGAGCACAGAAGTCAGATTTATGACCAAGAGATAAGCAATGAACTCTGTAGAACATACACGTGTTACAATAAGACTTTTCCTATAGCAAATAAAAGTAATCAAGGGACTTTTTTTTAAAAAAAAACATGTCTTTCTAGGTTTCAGAAGTGCTAACAATTCCAGCAATAAAACTTTCAAAGTGCCCTGGCTGTGCCTCTCTTTTTAGTGTCTTTTCCAAATGGTATTCAACCGGGTAAGAAACCTTCTCCTCTAATCAACAGTTATCAGTTTAGTATTATGCTATTGGCAAGTCAGATCCTGAAATATTATGAATATTCAATAGTTGTAATCAATTTATTCATGATCGTATAAAAAAAGCACATTTGCATGTGACTGCACTGTCAGATCTATAATACACCAAATAAGACTGCAAAAATAAAAGGCAAAAACGGAAAAAGGCCTCACATCTCCTTTTTTGTTGTTCGGGTGTTGGTTTTTTTACTAATTGTCTCACAGCAAAAAAAAAAAAAAAAAGTAGCAAAGGCTTAGTCTTAAATACAACATTATAATCTGCAAATCAGGTCCTCTAATCCAGACGGGTGGTACACTCTGTTTCAACTGAACCACCCATTCTAAACTTGCAACGCCAGCACTCATTCCTACCCTGAAGCATTGCCTGGCCTCACCCACCCAATCAACTATTCACACCTTATTTTAAGTAGAACAATCAAAAAAAAGTTATTTGTTGTTGGTCTGAATTCTTTAATACCACACTCAAAACTCAGGAAGACAAATTTAAGGATATCTCAACTCAATTCTCAAAGTATTTTTTACAAAGGAGAAAAGAAGGCGTGAATATGGAAGTACAGAAGGTGCTAAAACACTACTAAAAAAATGGACTTGGTGAAAAGCCTACACTGCAAAAACTTATCTTGTCAAAGCATTAAAATTATCATCTCAGAAGACAATTCAGACACTTAGTCAGAATTGTGAAAAAACGCAACCTAGACTGTCGTAGATCACTGAAATACCTAATCTAAAGGCAGTGCAAAATGATGGCTGGTGAGGGGCAACCAGTCATCTTGCAGTGAGGGTCTTCAAATTACTCATCACTGATCTCCTTAATAATCTGCATTGAAGGACCTGATGAACAGCTGTGAAATTTTTGTCATGCAATTATAACTGTTAAGCAACTAATATGAAACTCAAGAGTGATACTGTCATCCATGGTGGATTATTAAAGTAATAATCTATTCAAGAACAAAGTCAAAGGGGAAAGTGGTAAACATCAGTTGCCATAAGTGAAAACACTTCAAAAATTTACAATTAAATAAAAAGTTAGATGATATCTTATAAAAAGAAGTACTGAACACAACAAAGCCACAATAAATTAGTGTTTCCATAAAACGACATGCTGAAGGTTTTGTTCCCAAGTCTATACATTTTTTTTACTGTCTGTAATTCCTAAATATTGACAGCGTAATTGAATAATTGAGGTACAGTAGTTTACATTTGTATATGTCTTGTAAAAAGGTTAATTTTTTTCTTCCAGTTTTTCTTCCTCATCACCAAAGAACAACAAAGGAAACATTCCTAAAATGCAGCCAATGGTCACTCCAATAGCTTTACCCTGGAGAAAGGGGGGAAAAAAATTAAGTTTCTCACTGATCAAGGCGTTGTTACTCATTCGCTGTGTAGTACCAACACAACCTGGAAAACAGACCTTTTGTTCTGGTTTTCAGTTGGGAGCCACATTTTTCTTAGCATGCAGACTAGAAACACAATCCATGACAGAGAGACAGATATGACAAAGTTAGAAACATGAGCTGTGATAAAAGACAATCCTGAATAAGGAGGGGAATGACCCATGAGGAGCTGCACAGGTGGTGAGGGAGGAGACAGAGATTCAAAGGATTAGTAGGATGGCCAGGAAGACAGGGAAGGAAAAACAAAACCACACACATTTTAGGTGCAATTATAAATGTATCTGGTAACGCAAATTATCAAAGTCATGAATGAGGCATTCCTTGCAAACATAATGGCTTGCAAAAGCAGAAGGGGAAGACAAAAAAAAAAAAAAAAGACTGGAAAACAATTCACAATTAACCTGGATGTAAAAGTCAAGAGGAGAGGAAAGAAGACAGGCAACATCCAAACCACATCACCAGCAGTAGGTGGATAATGTTGAGAAGCTTGAGACAGTGGGTAAAAAAGTAAAAATGCTAGCATACAGGTGAAGATGCTCAGAAGTCTTCTCACAGAAGAGTGCTGTGAATGAACTGCAGCGCAATGACAAGGTTTTGCCACACTCAGCTTCCACCAAGAAGCCTCGTATGTTGGACAGACTAAAGGGCAGCCCCCTGACAACATGCCAATTCTTCTCTGCTCAATGCTCTGATCTGTCACTGCTAAAAGCAGACTTCCCCCTCCCCTTAACTTTTCCTCAGCAGGTGTTATTTCTCTTCCCTTAAATCTGCCAAGATATTCTTCCCCATGAAGGTTCATTCTGGCAAAGCAAAAGAAATATCTATTTCTTTACTCAGTTTCTTATAATCTGTTTCTTTCATCAAAATGAACTAATGCTCTCATTGCTTAAGTGGACTGCTTCAAATGTTTAAACGTTAAGTAAGTAATAATCCTGAAAATGAATCTGCAAGAGGGGTATCCCGTAACTGTAAACCCAGGCAGTGATTATTACTCCAATGCTAAAAGTTTACCCAGGGGAAAGCTAATTTCACATCCCAGCTAATTATAGAATATTGGAAATTAATACATACTAGTACAGGTATAAGAATAGCAAGTACTTGACAAAGAAAGTCTAGGAGTAAACTGCTAATGGGTGATAACTTTCAAATAAACTAGTAGCTAGAGTAGCTACTAAACAGAGTAGCTAGAGTTCAACCCAGGTATCTGATAGCATACATAAACTCATGTTGCTAGTCACTTGTGGTTCGTTGCCTACAAAAAACCACCCAAGCCTGAAACAATTCAGTCTCATGATGCTGCCTGACATAGGCTCACAACTAAACCTTCCAGGAAATGAGCAAAATGTTGGTGGTCGTTAAGTATTTAATGGCAAAAGTGGCACAAAGGATTTACCACATAATATTTTAAACAAAAAGCTTCATGCAAACAGTTCCTACCTACAGGATACTCACCAAGTGTGCACTGAGACGTGTTTGCCACATATCAGCTTGTTTGGGTGTCAGATCAGGGATTGAGAGACCCAGTCGCGAAGCTAAAGCTTCTACATAACCTGCAAGACTGGAAGAACAAGAAAACAAGATCAAACCATTTTGGATCTGACAGTACCTTCTAACGACGATTTTGAAATGTTTGAAGCACTGAACTTAAAATGAATAGCTTTTCCTACAGCATACTGATAAAGCCACTGAGAGGTAAATATGGGAAAGTGTTCAGACTTCTGATGGTCACATTTTGCAACGTAAATTAACTAATTTTCTTACTGATTTAATACGCAATATTTCCAGAAAAACTTTATGCAGCAAGACATAAGGTATGAATGTTATTGTATTTTTGCAGAGCTTGTAAGTAACCTTTACTGGAGGAAAGGCCACACACACACAAGTTAGTAATAAGTCTTGCTATTTTCAGAAAAAAAAAATAGAGAGAAAGTAGGGAAAAAAGAGGAATAACAGACAGCTTTATTTGCAGCAATTACTGAGAAATTTTCTTTAAAAAAATAAAGTGAGCTGCATCTGTTTATATCAGAAATAGGTATGCCTAGATCTGAAGACATTTCAGATATATAGCTGTTTTATCTGAGGAGAGGGAAATGTCTTCAGATCTAGGCATAACAATCTGAGGAGGTATATTCTATCACGTATTAGGTATACTCTATCACAGCAGTATATTATATCACAAAAAATGTTTTTTTTTTTCTATTTTGTATTTCAATGAATACACTTTTTGTAGAAAAGAATTCTTAAAAGCAAGAGTTTCTTAAAAGCAAGCATTACCTATAGACTACATTGAATCAGGTCAAATGCCAATCCCAATTTTCTGACTTAAAATATATAATACTGTAATAGCAGAAGAGTTATTCTGTTTCAGAACTATGGCACTGCAGTTTTAACCTAAACAAGAACCACCTAACATTGCAACATTCTCTTAGCAAGGACAGAATACCTTTCTACAGTCATGTAGTTTACTGAAGCAAAATTCAAGAGCTAAGAAAAAAATTAAAGCAATTTCAGCAGTTTATATGTTTTAGTTCGGTAGCACCAGTAGTGTTTGCAAGAGAGGAGAAAAAAAAAATATTCTTAATACAAATTCAGACATACCCCAGTCCAGCTAAATCTGAAACAAGGTTTCCCAAAGCAGCAGCTAGAGGGATGGAAAGGGAAGAGAAAGGGAAAAGGTGGCAAAATGTTATTTTAATTACAAACAAAACCAACCGTCTTGCCTCTCCCACCCCGCCAATGACCCTCCTTTCTTCTCAGTATATACAGCATAAAAGACTAGAAGTAAGTTTCTTTTATTTTAGAGTTTTTCTTCTGACCTCATTGTAATAACAGCAGTGGACTAATAATAATAGAAAGTGCAACTGGTTTTCTCATGTAAATGAAGAAAACTTGACAAATACAAAAAGACAACACTGACACCTGGAAATCAATGTAACAACTTTTCAGATCAGAGTTAAACACGGCTATGTGCGGGTGCCAGTTTCACACAGCTTACACTGGACACCAAGCAAGGCTTTCCAGTGCCTGAGGAGGCACAGGAGCAATGGAAGCAGAAGGAGCTGTTACTCATGTAAGTGACTTTGATAAACATTTCAACATACCCATGAACTGTGTCGGTTTAGGAATAAATATCTATGATTGAATAAAATTACACACTTAAAATACAGCAGATCTTATTGAGATAAGCTTGCTTGTGAGTGTCTTGCATTGCAACGGGGCTGCAAATTTCCAAATGATTAACTTGTTCTGTCGTATACCTTTTCATTTAAGCTATCTGCGTGCTTTCCAGCAACGCTCCACCTACAGTCGGTGGATCCATGAGCAGTTTTTTTTCCTCTGACATTGCAGAGGCACCAAAGCTGCCGTGCAGAGCTTATCAGTTTTGGCCGAGTGCGGGAGCAGGGCTGCTGCTGTGCCTTCCCATGGTATCACACAGAGGCAGAGAAGCCACCAAGAGCGCCAGCCAACACAGAAAAAGGACACCAACACTGATATTCACTTAGCACTGCAAGCAAACAGCAACTTCCAAATACATATATAGGCACATACGTAAATATCAGACCATAGGGAATTTAGAGCAGTTCCATTACAGAAATGCAAATATACTTTCCTAAGCGACCCAGGAATTGAACTTTTAGATTAAAGCTGACAAAAAGCATTTCAAAAGCTATTTGAACTGAAATTCCATTTCCGCAAATGGAATATGTCCTTGCTTCAACCATAGGTTGTTTATTCATTAGGAAAGGCAGCTGCAAGACGAAAGAAGAGCTGTTTCCAGCCCTGTGGCCCACTTTCAGCCTAAAATATAGGAATGTGCCATATTAGTCTATCCATATGACATTTTTATTACTTGCCTGCCATAGTTGAAATTCCTAGGACAACTCCAATTGACAATTCTATTTGGGTTCCCTGAAAAATAAGAGTTTTCTCATTATTTGAGAGATTTTGAGTTAAAATAGATGACATTGATTCAACTGGCAAAAGTATTGCTTACTGCTTCTTTATCTTAAAATTGAAAGCATAAATGGACATTACTTCTACTAGATCTGCACAGCTCCTACCATCCTGGCATATGCATTTCCCCCAGGACAGGAGCCTACTTCTGATATTCTTTTAATATTTTATATTGTTTCCTAATGGCCACCTAATGGACAAAACCATAGTCCCTATCTCTGCATACCATTTTCCCCACTGTGATTCTTAGCTGAGCATACAGCTCTGAATGCAGACTTCTACAAATACCAAGCAAGCAACTAAAACGCAGTGTCATAGCTCCTTACATTTTCAGTTGAAGAAACATAAAATCACACTGAACTGCATGACAAAACAGCAGTGTGTGATGCAAGGATGAGAGACAAGGGGCACGAATCAAAACAGACAAATTCCAGTTATAAGAAAATGTTTTCCACTGTGAGGACAGTTCAGCACTGGAACAGGTTGTCCAGACACATTGTGCCATCTCTGGCCTTAAAGCTTTTCAAGAACCACAGGATAAAATCATGAACAACTTGGTCTGACCTTAGAGCTGACCCTGCTTTGAGCAGGAGGTTAGACTAGAGACCTTGAGAAGGTCCTGAGCAGGAGCAAGACTAGAGACCTAGTGGGTCCTAAGATCCGTTTCCACCTGAATTATCCGGCAATTAAAATCACACTGCAAATGATAATCCTACACAAGGAACAGTATCTTTTGCCTTTATCCATCTTCCTGTTCCACTAGCCCATTTCATCTTCCAAATGAACAGGAACATATCTCAAGAGTGTTACTCAGAAATGCCAGTCTACATCAGTACAAATCAGCATCAACACTATCATTGCCTGCACCGCTCAGAACAAAGGAACACATTAGTAAAAACCCTGAAGACATATTCATCAACACATAATCATATTATCATCAGTCAGTAAAAAAAAACGTATTCACTACAGGATCGTAAGTGTGTCTTGCAGCACAAATTAGGACAGGGAAAAAAAAAAGCAAGCCTCTTCTCAATTCAGTAAAATTAGTTACAATTCTGGCCTTCGGAAGAAACAACACTCCTTTGATTCTGCAAAGGCTCAATAGAGCATGGACACTTTCTTTAAAAAAAGAAAAATTAAAATATAAATTAGTGAATTGATACAGAGGGAAGGAGTCTTCCTGAAGCTCTCATTTACTCATTTACTACTTGAACAATATGAATCATGCTGATTTGATCAAGGAATTAAATAACGAACTTACCGCAGCAATCATAATTGCGTTATCCAAAAATCCAAACCCTACAAAAGGTAATGCATTGTGGAAGAACACTAAAAGAAATAAGTAACAAAGAGAAAATAAATATTTATAAGAGTTCACTAGTTCACACTAACAACTGAAATGTCGGTCTAATGCTGCCTTTAAGAGAAACAAAGACAACAGACACAAAATCCCTTTCCTACTACTTCTATTGTAGGAATTGTATTGTATCGAAAGTACTGCATCAAACTGTCAGGTTCAGTGAAACCCTTTGCTATACATCAGTGTCACTAATGGCTTGGGAAGAACCAGTTAAACCAACATATTCTTTGCAAATACTTGTACAATTTTGGATGGAGGCCACTTTTGCCTACTAGTCTGTAGGAGAAATATTTAAAACTACACAAACTTTGATACTACTTACAGTCCTTCCAACCGATGTTGCAGTATCACTGAAGACTGCCAAACTGTCTCACCAAATTCCCTGCATTCTTCTCTTGCTTGAAATACAGCCCTTTCTCTGCAAGTCCCTCTCTATTCCTGTGCAAGAGCTCCATTCTTCTTCACACATTCCAAAAAATTCATATTTTAAGAGTATTGCCTGGAGCTAGGCAATTCTTGTCAAAACTCCTTCAGCTAAATCTGCAAACGCTAAGGTGGCTTTCACTAGTGTGTCATCCAGCATTAATTATCTCACTATTCAACCCAAACTTCTGTATCTTGATTTTGTTTGGGCACTATGATGAGGACAAGTTAGATTTGAAGCTGAGAGCGCATTGCCTCCAGCTGAATCTCAAGGTGCAAACATCATAAAAATAGAGCGTAGAAAGTTAGATCTTTTCACTTTTTTAAACATTTAAAATGCATTAGCTATTTAGGGTTTTTTCCCACTTCAGATGGGAACAATAATTCCTACATTTTATAAACTTACAGAAATGCAAACATATGAAGAGGGAAGAAAGAAGAGTGCATGAACCTGACAGACATGTGAAAGGAAACTGGTTTGAGTCCCTTTCGGATTTACTTCTCTCAGACAGCATGAATCCACAACCATATAAAAAACAAAGCTGCACAAGACATCTTTCATGCTCAGGTACTAGAACGCATTTGGACTTCTGTAACTATTTTGTAAGAACACACATACCTTCTTAAAGGCACAGGTAAAAGACTAAAGCACAGAAAGTATGAAATACTCCAAATGATTATTCTTTTTCTTTTAAACCACCACAGGACCAAACCCTTAAAAACATAACTAACAAAAAAACCACACAGATATGCCCAGTATTTTCAAAATGTGTGTAACCAAACTCTGGAGCTACAAAAGGAGCTCAAATCCTTACCGAAACTGACAGAATTTTGGAATCCATGGAGTAAACAGAACCCCAGGGACCAAGAAAGAGGGAAAAAAAAAAGAAAAAAAAAAAGACGTAGATACCTAGACTGGGAAAACGTTCAATACATTTGCTCAATGAGAGAGTATAAAAATCACAAACACACACTGATTTGGAAACTAAGTCAGAATTCGAATGACCGTGGTATTATAAAGAATACCAAATCTACTTCCAATTTCTCTGCAATTTTATCCGGCTTCTCAGTCCATCTAAAATATATGTGACAAGAAGCAAGTCAATACTTTTAAGCTTAAACACAAAAACCCCCACAAGGTAGTGCAGCATCAACACTGCTTGGCTTAGAAAAACAACGTTTGCTGCTGGCTTTGAGAAGCGTGCTCTCATTTGGGCTTTCTGTCCTACTTTCACTAAATGGTGCACATTCTCCGGCTGAGGTGCTATGAAATAAAGAAGGCACGGTGATTTTGGTGTTTGCTTTGGTTTTCTGTTACTCCGTATGACAAGGATGAGGACAGACCAGCACTTGCAGGAGAAAGATGAAGCAATTCAAAGACAGACTGCACAAGTACTGAACCACATTCAACAAACATTCTTCTTTTACCATGTCTCAGTTGTCCTGGAGATGGTGGTGCAACCTCCAACTTTTCTAGAGAAGTCAAAATGAAATGAGCAGTTAGCTACTTCATCACAAATTCAGTTTATTATAATATAAAGTATTTACCAAATTACTAGCAGGCAAAGAAGCAGTTATGCTATGTAACAGATTTAAAATGTGAAGAAAAATGTTTCACTTTTACATTTTTATTATTTTTACAAAAGATAACTTGATATTAAAAGCCAAAAAGTCTTTAAAAGATATTACAAGATTAAACTAGTGTAAGTGATTATGCAAAGTAACAGCATATATTAGAAGCAGCCCAATAGCCATTTTTATTACTGAAAATTAGAAAAACCACACTAAAATTAGAAAAACCAGGACATTCAAAGGGAATTGTATTTCATTATTTGTTTTTAGAGGTCCTCTAAGCATGCAGCAGACAACCTTCTTTCCTCCAGAGACAGTCTGAAAAAAAACCCCTACCATTTCTGTTCTGACAGAATGCATCTTTTAATAGCTAGTACGAGAATAAAAGAAAAATATTATGATGACAGTAGAGACCACTGATTTCAGTAACAGCAGATCACGTTTGGTCATTTGGTGCATGTTTCAGGTATCCTGGCATCAAACCATTAAGAGCTTGGAAGGACAGGGACGTCACTCCTGAACCTGACAGAGCACTCTATAGGAATCTAAGGCTGTATATTAAAGGTGATATACAGAATGCAGCAGCAACAGCTTACCCAAGTCACAGGGGCAAGGGAAAGACAACAAGCTACTTTTTTTAGGTTTGGAGGGGTCAGGGGGGTTGTTTGTTTTTTTTTTATGTGGATTTTGAGCACAAGACCCCTTTTTAAAAGCAGGAAATAAAAGTTGCCCCAACATCTTCCAGTATTATGAAACCTGAGCTGTTGACAAGTTGTTTCCATACTTTTGATTAGGTAACTTCTATAGGCAAAGGCAAAAAATGGTAAAACACAACAGGAGCCTAAAGTATTCAACTTTTACTTGGGGCAGCCAAGTACATGAAAAGACAACGCTGCAAACACAGGCTGTGAATCATTTCAGCATATGCCTGAACTGTCCAGGCTAGAGTGAATATCCCTGCATCTAAGTCACTTCTATATTCAGAACTGTTGTAAAGGAGAAACTAAAACATTTACTTAAATTAACTTTAAAAAAAAAAAACCAACCCAAAGTTAGACCATAACACCAGTATTCAGCCAACCAGGACCCTGGCTTCCAAAATAATTTCATTAATTTAAGGTTTTAAACTATAAAAGCTTTCAAGCTTTAGCAGTTATTGAAGAGCTGCTTTTTCCCTCTACGTAACAGATAAACTACCCAAGCTCTACAAACAGCAGTTGTACTCATCACGCAAGTGGGAGATGTAAAGCGAAAATACTACAGAAATACATAAAGATTATTTTTTTTCCCCTCTAGAAAATGCCAAGGAATTCACAGATTTATACTTCGGGCTGGAGGAGGAACAAAAGAACATCCCATGGTAAACAGGGGGGAGCCCCTGCAAGAGGCAATCTTCCACAGCCACAGGCATCACTGGTGCCACACAGACAAAAAAAGTCAGACCAAAATTTTCAGCTTGCGTTCACGAAGGATAGGACTGAGGGTGGGACCCTTTTTTCCCTCAAAACAAACTTCTCCTGCACTTGCCTGCATGTGGTCTCCCTCCATCCTCACAGGTTAAGCAAAGATTTTACAGAAGCATGAAAAGAGTGAGCTATCTATATTCACCAGCACTGCCCCTTCAGCAGCTTTTCTCAGAGACAGCAAATTCATACAACAGTGGGGAAAATCAGAGCCACTTTGCTTCAAAGAAATTAACTGAAGCCACTCTCTCCAAAAGCTCTAGATGCCCTGAGGGCGGCCAGCCCACCTAAGCCAGCACCATCACATTCCTGATGAAGTTTTCCTAACCTCTTCTTACTCCGTCCTGCTGTCTGCCAGGGAGAGAATGAAAAGCCAAAATCACAAAGACAAGCACAGGAGGTCACTGGGAGAGTGCTGCCCTCCATGGCTTTCTGGTCCAACGGGAAGCTATCACACAGACCAGCTGGTTCCTTGGCTTCATGTGACACTGCCACTGAAACCATCCCTCCTGAAGTACCATCTATTCTTCAAGTCTAGTTCTCCATATACAAGGATTTCACGATAAAAAGCTGTAACAGCAAACATAAGCTTCCAGGAAAGACTCTGTTCACCTCCGAGGAAGACATCTTTTCATAGTTTGCCCTGAATACAATATCCAGTTAGTTTAGATAATTCTCAAGTGAAGCATTTTGGGTACCAATACATAAGACTATCTGGTTTATCACACAATACTACAAAGCTCTAGAACATCAGTCTTGCGGATTTAACTATAACTGATGTTTGAGTTTGATAGCACATAGCAGTCTACATAATTACACTCTATTCAGTGTAGCTAGAAAGCTATTAAAAGCTAAAAAACAGTGCATAATTGATTTTAGAAAGTTATTACCAAACGGAGGAATTGAGGACAAGCTTTTGGTAGGAGAAAAAAAACCCAGCCCTTTACATCTATGAATAATGGGAGTTTCAAGTCATTAACTAAAAGGGACATAAACTGCCTCCTTTAGAGTATAAATCAAGGACTATCTTGGGATGGTTTTAAAAGGAGGGAAGCTGGGGGACACTACTTTGGGGGCAGAGGAGACAGGAAACAACAAGGGATCAAATGTAAGTGAAAATTCCTTCATCATTGACAACTTGCTTTGGTACTGTGGGATTCCTGCTAAATAGCCATTTTATGAAGCAGGGCACCTAAGGTGCTTCAACAACACTAGGGTAGTCAAATGCTAAAAGAGAGGTTCCTAAGGACAGCACGGTGGCACTGTGCCCTGGAGACAAACTGCTCTTGTCTGGCCATGGGGAACTCTGGTGTAGGTACCAGTGTCTTCCTGCCATATCCATAAGAACTTTCTTTTATAAAAGAGTCTTGCTAAACTGATCTGGAAGTGTGCCTGACACACAGCTTCCTTCATCATTGAGATAAAAATTAATCTGGGGAAAAAAAGAATCTGGGATCACGTGTATTAATGAGAGAGGGACAGAAGTCTGACAGAAGAAGTTCATATAACTAGTGCAGGTCAACCCTGCTCACGCTCCGGAGAAAGAAGCTCCAATCCCGACACCCTCTCTGCCTGAACCAGGGACACAGGTCTCTAGCCTGGAGAGGCCATCTAGTCCCATCCTGCTCAAAGCAGGGCCAAATCAGACCAGGGTGCTCAGGCCCTTGTCACACAGTACCTTCAGGACCAGGCTCAAGGAAAAAGCTGTCCCCCGTGGAGCAGCAAAGCAAGCCGTTAGGCACAAAGCAGCATTCGCTGAGGGCTGAAGTACCCTCCGCCACTGTGAGGTACAGAGCACTGCCCGCTACGGGGAAGGGGGCTGGACCAGCTCAGCTGTACTCGCAGAGGCCAAGGCTTAGTTTAAAGCCAGGACATTGGGAAGAAGAAGAAAAAAAAAAATTAAAGCAGAAAGAATTAAATAACCACTGTGGCATGAAAGCAAGTAACTTTTTTAGAGAATCACTTCCAATACCACCTCTTTAAAGCATAACATACTTTAAAACTCTGCAAGATATGAAGGCACCAGGGGAACACATCTCTCGGAGAGCTAAAAAAATTCTTTAAAGCAATTTTTTAAAACTCTAGATGGCAAAATGTATTTCAGAATAAGGTATTTATTCACAGGAAGCTGTTCTGATTATTTATATTTTCAAGGCTCAGCAAAAAAACAAGAAAAAAAAATCTTCAGAGAGTACAGCAAAAGAAACACGCCCTTAGCTTGCTTTACCAGAGGGAAAACAAAAATCCAAGTTGCAAAACCCCTGTTCAGGAATTGAATTCAGTCAGAATCCAGCAGTTCAGAGTTTAAATGTGCAGGGAAAAAACCTGAAGTATGCAGTATTGCATTTCACGACAGCTATTCACCAGCTCGTCCTGTCCCATAGTGCTGAATAAGACACCAGATTTCATCTAATCATGGAAGGAATAAAATCAAATGGCAGAGTAAGGAATACTGCTATTTTCTAACTGACATTCATTATCATAACTGAAGTTATAAACCAAGGTTCAAGTGCAATACAGGTCACAAGCCCTGAATTAGCAAAGTCTGGGGAGCAGAAAAAAAAAAAACAACATTAACTGCCTCTTAAATCTGTTTTTGATCTTTTTTGAATTTACAGTATCACCTTTTTGCTATCTAAACATTTACTTTTTTTTTTCTTTAAATAGATAGAACCCATAAGGGAATATAAAACTGTCAACATAAATAATACCATTATCCACAACTTGGCCCAAATCCAGCAAGTTAAATTTAACTCTGCCAATTGAAGCCAATTTAAACCAAGACAGTACTTGCAATTTAGTTTTAAAATTATTATTCTTAGCTGACAAAAAACCCACAACTGACTAACAGGTAATGGGGCTGCATTTATTCAGATGGTTAAAAAAAAAAACAAACAAACAAACAAAAACCTGAAAGTTGTCATCACTGGTTTTTGAATTATCATTTTTTTAAGAACTGGCACACAAGGGAACTTGCAAGCCTAAAGGCATGCATGATGATGTTTTATTCAAATTGCCACTGCCATAAAATTTTATAGCTAAATCTGCTACTGTCACCCAGGGGCAGGAAACACATAGCAGTGATAACAAGTACTATGGCCAGGGCTACCCCAGGAAGACACATGCTATAGCTGAGTTAAATCTAAGACAAGAATACAAGCATTGTTTTATAGATTTTTAAATAGCGACCAAATCGTTAAGATTAACGATTTAACAATGAATATCAAGAAGGTAAGGAGGAGGAATATGAAAAGTATTGATAATCTAGATCCATTATAACCTCACTGTAGGCTCTGAAGGTTAGTGTCTCATCTGGAAGCGAGGGAGGGTTTTATCCCAAATTCATCATTCTGTTTCATCCAAAAAGCCTGTCCAGGTCACTTCAGCAAATCACTCAGTTACACACCACGGAGGCAGCAAGGGCTTCACTTGCACAGC